CCATCACTGAAGGTATTTAAAAGACGTGTAGATGAGGCACTTAGGGACATGGTTTAGTGGGCATGGTGGTGTCGGGTCGATGGTTGGACTCGATGATCTTAAGAGGTCTTTTCCAACCTCAATGATTCTATGATTCTATATAATTGTTTTGGATTAATAGAAGCTACTAACTGTTTAGTCTGTGGTAGAAAAGACAAAATTAAATTAAAAAAGAAAGGTCCACCAAGTAAATAAGCTATTTTTTGAGTTAATAAGTCATAAAATATTAGCTTACTCCTTTACTCCTATCAGCTTGTATCAGTCGCTGATACTGTTCTACTTTGTTCTGGACAACATTGCTAAGAGAAAACCTCTTTGAAAAATGCTGAGCCATTAAAAAAAAAAATGCATAGTGTTTTTAGAAGTCATGAGAAAGATCTAAAAAGAATGATCAAAGGACAGTCTAAGACATGTCAGGATGACAAACATTGAGTGCTGCTGTGTTCTAAATATTGTGTCAGTCCTCTTACTCTTTTTCACAAAAGCTGCATAGCCAGGGGAGGAAGTTGCATTTTTTTTCCCCTAGTAGACTGCAATTATTTAGAAACTATGTGAACTTTAAAACAGCGAGTTGGACATTGGCTAGAAATACTTCAGTAATCCCTGGTTTGTTTGGCTGAAGTTATTGCTGCTGTTAGTGACAATTCTGTATTACGTAACAAAATGTGAGAGCACAGCATTTAAAGTACTGTTTCTGAATGTAATTAATGTAATTTGTGTATCATATTTGCCCAAATTAAATGAGAAATTGAGAGCTTGTTTATTTCAGTGCTATGGTCTCTTACTGTTTGCAGTGGCAATAAGGCATGGCTTCATCAATTCTTATGAGCAAAAGGAAGCACGCTTGCAGTATCACCCGTACTGATAAGTACAAGATGGAACAAATCTCTGAAGCTGTTCACTTTTATGCCAGCCACTTAAATGGTTAGGTGGAAGCTTGAGCAAAGTTCTAGATCCACATTTGGGTTTGTGGTCTGCTTGCAAGGATAGTCAAGATATGCATGTGTGTTAGTAATAAAAGAATTTGTTCTGAAAAAGATGTTACAAAAAGAAGAAAGAATACAGAATGAAAAAAGTCCATCTTGTCACCTGGGCGAACTTGTAGCTGAGTACACAAACAGATGTTAGTCTTTACTGAAGTCAGTATGAAAAATGAAACTTTCATAAAGGTGCTGCACACTTTCCCCAATTTACTTATGATTTTTAGTATTTGATCCCATTTGAGCCAAATATTTTTGGTGCTTTATGCATTCCTTGTGTTTGAAGATGGCATTGGTGAAACATAGCATTCATTGTATTTACTGCATTTTTAGTATGAAATTTTAAAAGATTAATTTCAGTGGAATTTAAAGGTTCACTGTCCAACACCGCCTGTTCAGGTGGCATCTGCAAGCCTGTTAATGTGACACATTGAGAGAGATCATTTTATTCTTGAAGTTTTCTCAGAAAGCAGAGATAAAAGGAAGCATTTTTAGAACAGGATTCTAATGTGCTATACTGCACTTAAAGGATATGTGATGGATAGTAACAATATTAAAATACAAATAAAAATCTGAGGGCTAGCCAGTTCATGAGCTAGCATTTCCTTGTGTTTCTGATCCAAGAAACTTTTTTTTAATGCTTATGAACTTTATGTACCAGTAGTAAACAGACACAGATAATTTTAGTGATTTGCTTGAAGTAGTACAGTACGTCAGATTCAGAACAAGATTACAAGTGGCCTGCTAACAGTGCCTCCTAAATAAATCACTGTCACACTTGTTCTGTTGGTCTATTGTAAAAAATACATGATTCCAAAAATAATTTACACTTTTAAGAAAATGGTTTCATCTGTTGACCTCAAAGCTCTTAGGATAATCACTACTAATTAAGTTGTACAGACGAGAAAAAGTAAGACATGTATCGGTTGCCTGGAGATACTGATCCAGTAGATAAGACTTGGACTTATAAGAAAGATAACTTTGAATGCAGTTTCACTCTAGTTCATGATATGTGGCTTAGCTTTTCTATAGATTTTCTGTACCTATAAATTTGTAATATGTTGCCTATATAATAGAAAAGTGAAGAATTTTAAAAAATGTTCTCAGGATCAAGTTAGTGACTGAAGCTTAGAAGAGAACCACGGTTTCCTCCTAAAAATATGGGACAGTTAATTTTATGGTAACTTGAAAAAATCTTACAGGTTTAGGCAAAAATTCTGACTTTTTTCATGCATGTTTTTAATTCTAGCATTTGAAAGAAGTAGAGGATACAGTGTGGTTTGGGAAGTCAACTGTTTGAAGTACCTTGGTTATAAGCAAATGAGTTGTACCAGAAAAAAAGAACATCATCCAGCTAAGAATTAGGTGTTCCTTCAACACCCTCTCTGGCAGGCATTCTAATTAGTTGAATTCTAACATTTTTCTTTCATTTGTGATTGTCAGAGAAATTAGGAAATAGTATTCCAAATAATATTCTTCTGACTTTTATGTCTTTTAGAAAGTAATGTGACATTGCAGACTTCAGTGCTAGAGTTGCAACATGCATAATAAGCTTCTGGAATCTGGAATAATCTATTTATCCACAAACAGGACTGGACATAGTAAACTACCTTTTAGTGTTGTATGAAAGTAAACTTAATTACTATAACCTTTTAGTCATGGGACGTTATAGTCCCAATTGTGTTGAGTCTCTCATGATTTAGCAATTTGTCATGTAGTGCAGTTGCAAGCTCAGATTGAGAGCAGTAGATTATTTTAGGCTAATTCAATTAAATGGCCCCTTCAGTTCCTGTTTTCTCAAATGGTCTTAAAAATGTGCTAGTATACACGTACATTGCAGTATCTTTTGAAAAATCAGTGCAGTCTTTCTACTTGCTTGTACGTAATTATTACATTTGGTGCTAACAATGAAGGGAGAAAACCTGTTTGCTCTTTTGTCTGTGCTCCACAGTGCATTGACACATTCTTATTTATTTATTTTTGGAAAGAGAGATTTTTCTATCTAGATAATAAAATTGATCTGAAAAGCTCAATATCCTGTTTCCTCTGGCCAGTGTTTCAAAGAAAGACAAAAGCTTTCATTATTTTTGTTCAAAATTAAGTCATAAAATTGTTCAACCCTTAAAGTAAGGTGGGGGGAGGATTGCCACCTTTCAAGTTAACTATCTGCTTCCCCAGTCACATGTGTATATATGTTTGTGCCTGCTTGAAGACTTATGCACAAAGAATCTTTAATGTTACGGTTTTTTGTCTACTTTTAAATTACGAGTTGAGGAGTAAGACAGTAGAAAGACATTTTCTGATAAATGTCCTGTATTTCTGTTAAGTTTGAAACACAACTGAAACAATAAATGCAAAAGAGAGTTTGAGTCCTTTTGCAATGTAACATTTAACAGCAGTCATTTTTTTGCTATGGAAGAAAGGTGAGAATGCTTTAATGAACTGCTGCTATAGACCATTTCAGACAGTGAATTGGTTAATTTAGTTGGTATGAGTTTAAATTCAAGCTGGTTTTTACAGAACAAATTTTACTTAGTTTCATTTCATTTTAGCATCTGTCATATAAGTAGTGACATAGTTTGTTAACTGAATTATCTTGTTTTACTCTAATTGTTTTACAATTACTTAGTTAACGATTTCAGTATACCTTCTGTTCCTGGCAGGTGAAACAATGGTAAATGAATAAAGGAGGCTCATCTCTGCCTTTAGCTTTCAGAAATTACCACCAATTTTAACCTATTTGCTCATGTTAATTAATTTTGTCTTTTGGGCTCCTGCAGTTTTAAAGTAGAGAGCTTTCTTGGGTTTTGTTCAGCACTTTCTTTAAACCACTAAGTAAATAACTTACCAGGAAGAAAGAATACATGTTATTGCTTGTGACTTTTCCTTTCTTTTTAATTCTCGGTGTCCTCAACAGGGTTTTTTTTGTTTATTTTTTTCAGACCTTTTTACTGAGTTTTGCATAGCTTTCTTGCACTGTTCCCAGCCTTCCTCATTCTCTCCTTATGACTTGGTTAAACTGTGATGCTGTTTTGCAGAAACAATATGGCTTGCAAACCATAAGGACCTACATATGCTTTTAAGTATTACTGTGTAGAAGAGTTAGTGTTTATAAGTTGATCCTCTTAAGAAAATTGGGAAGGTGAGGAGCAAGAAAGAAGGTAAAATAAGTGTCTTTTAGGAAGAGTGCTCTGAAGGGACAGTAAAAGTATCTGGAGGGAGTATGAGTGGATAAAAAAGGAAGAAAAAAGCCGGATTCTAGATGAAAGGTCCCCCAGGTAGGGAAGGGGAGCCAAAGCAACATCAAGAGGTTTCCCCTTTCTTTCCCTTTTCCTGGTGCCTTGCCCTGTTATACCATGTGACTGTTTATACAGAAGATACCATTTCCAAATATTGACCTCCATGTATGTGCACTTCTGTAAAGTACCGTACTTTTCTATAATCCTATTGTCACCAAATTTCTACATAGCATTTCATTTGTCAGCTGCTTGTGTGTCTTAGTTCCCTGTAAAAAATATTATATGTTGCACACAAGGAAGAGACGTTCGAATTCTGGGGAGAAGGAGGTCTTGACTGAAACTTTGGTGGTGGCCAGGAACCAACTTTGTCCTTGCTGTCATACCACTGCTTTGTGGATTCTGCCTATTTTTTTGCCTGCTTTCTGGTATACTGAGACTTCAGTTTGTCTTTTTGATGCGGTGTGTTGCTAAAGGGACACTCAACTCATAATACTCTCTTTGAAATGTGGAGAAAACTGAAGGAGTAACACTATCTATTGAACTAGTCTGAACTGTTCCTTGTCTGGTGATTACTGAAGTGCAAACAAGAGTGGAGGCAAAAGCTTTCCACATGCTAATTCCTCAGGGCACAAACAGAGCTCAGTTCTTCATCTGTTCCCCCATATCTGAAGATCCTTTGCATGTAAGCCTTCCTCTGCCCCTACGACTCTGCTTGCAAAGCTGTCTTCATCACGGTTCACCATCCCCAAGCCCTCATCTGACTCCAGCTTTTCTTCATATCTGTTGTAACTCATCCTATCTGCAGCTAGGTAGCAAGAGGGATTTTAAAGATGTAAGTGAACAACAACGTTCCTTGTCATGCTTCATCTACAGTGGTATGTAACTACTGGATTTTAGCACTTGCCTTACTTAGTTTGGTGAAACTTAGAATATGGCAAGAGAAATTGATGATTTAAGCCAACAGGGGAAAAAAGTCCAAATTTTTAAAAGGTGTTTGTGAAGTTTAATTATTTTACTGACTACATTTTGGCTAGAAAAACCCAAAGAATTCATAATTTGTGTGTGATCTGGGAAACTTGTGTATTGTATGGATACTGCTTAATTTCAGTAAATCATTCTTCTGTTATTTAGACGGCAGTAAATTCATCATGATATGTCAGATTCCCTGGCATATGCATAAACACATGCATGTGCTTCATGCATACACATATATGCAGAGGTGGGAGACAGAGCTGCAGCGTGAGATCTTAACTTCTGCAAAGCCTCTAAGCAGAGCTTCTGCCTCAGCTCCTCGGTGAGAGAAGCCAAGGAGAGAGGCAGCACTGGTACAAGCCCCTCATGCGCTGCAGTGTGGCAGGAGATCAGGTCTAAATGAAGTTTCGTGATGGTGGTTGAAACCCAGAGGTCCCTGTAGAAGTCGTAGGACATACACTGTCTGTGAGGAGCAAACGTAACAAACAAGCAAATGTCTGAATGGGCTTGAGCTCTGCAATGTTCCTGGCATTAAGTGTACCTCTTGTCTAACAGATGCAGACAGGCAAGATTCTATCAATCTCTTTCTGGGAGTATTCAAGCCTACAGAAGGAAAACCTCATCTCTGGGAACTTCCCACTGATTTTTATTTGCATCACAAGAACACCCTCAGTCTGTTACAGACCAGGCGAAGGTATTTTGCTGTTCCATTTTTTTTTTTTGTTTGGTATTGCTCTAAGAAATTTAAAAAATGCATGTTGTTAACCAAAATAATTTGGTCAGCCTGTCAAAAACTTGCTAACTGTTTTTTAAGTTTTTACAAAAACTTAAAAATAGCCTTCAAGAGATTACCAAAAGTGTTGGATGTTGGTGTTTTGAAGGATTTGCTTTAGTATGACGTAAGTAGGAGATAGCCACATTAATAGTCTGATTACAGCCCTTATAGTATTGTGAATGCACACATATTTGAAATAAAAATCAGTGAAGATAAATTTCTTTTCATCCCAAGTAATGAAATAGAAGAAACTATCAGAATAATTTAGAGAAGAAATTAAAGTATATTTGAGAAGAGAAAATAAAAATACATAAACATGAATGAAAGATAAAACATGCTTTATTTTATTAATGTTGCTTGACTTCCTTTGTTGTTTTTCAGAAATCCTGAATAAGCTTCCAGCAGGGCCTGTTTTTTGCTGTTAGCTATGCCAACATACAGTTCTCAGACTTAGGACAGCTGTCACATTAAAATGTATTTCTATGTGTAGAAGTCAGCTGCTTTGACAATCTTCTGATTTTATTATCATTGACCTTCATTTCTTCATACCCTTTCCCTAAATTTTAGGATCTGAATAACAAGTGGTGGGAGGGGTGGGGGTTGATGCTTTTTGTTTAATTTTTTTTTTTTATTAAAAGACCAGAACAAGAGAAATACATAAATACCTTCTATATGTACTAAGACCTTAATTTTCAGCACTGTAGAGGTAGGCACCTGAAATGTATTTTGTTTAATGGAACAAAACCACTCGTCCCTCCATACCTGTATTGAGCTTCATGTGTTTAAATTTCATGGCCTGAGAGCAAAGTAGTAGGATAGGAGCCTGTTGAAATCCTCCATCCAAGGATAATTCTTTGCTTTCTTCCACACTTGAATTATAAAGATGTTTACTAAAGTGACACTGTGTGGTTGGGTAACTGTTATGTGCAAAGGCTTAGAGCAGATACAAGATCAAATCTTGTGTATCAATTGTGTGTCTGTTTTTCCTGTACAGCTATACTTACTGGTGGACCACAGGTGTGCTAAAGCATTTACCTCTTCCTTTTGATGAAGGTAGGAACTATATTTGCTCCTTGCCTTACAGCGTATCTTGAAAAAGAAGTTTTAGTCACAAATGCTTTTTAACTGTTTTAGATCCCAAATCTGAAAAAAAAACAAGTTTCCGTAATGATTGCTAAATACTTCCCACTCCCCCGACAGCCCCCCAAATGAGCTATGATTTTTCAACTGCAGGATGCAAGAGATACCTAATTGGCTAAAACTTGACCTCCATATGTTTATGTGCCAGGGCATAGTTCATTCTCCCCTCCCCCCCCTGGCCTATTAAAATATATTTATAGTCTGTGCTGCTGGTTACATTCCTGTTGCAGATGACAGGGTATAGCTAGTGTGTCTTATTTCTCTGGGATACTGTGGAGCATGTTTTATTAGGAATTGTCGTCATGAAGGGAAATCAAATTATGGTGGTTGATAATGCATATTTATTAAAGATGTGCCGTGCATCATCTTCTTCATATCCTATTTTCTTGTCTTTGAGGGGATATGGCTGTAGAAAAATGCCTGGTAGGGTGTCTGTGTAAGCAAGCTACTGTTTGTTTAGATTTTTGCAGAGTCATTAGTTGTTAGTAAAAAGATTTTTTTTTTTTCTTTTCCCCAGTGACATGTGCTGAAAACAGACGGAAGTTGACAGTGAAAAAATTCCACAAGTATGAAGAGGAAATTGATATCCACAATGAGTTTTTTCGGCCGTATGAGTTGAGCAGTTTTGATGAGACCTTCTGCTTGGCAATGACCAATTCTACACGGTATATTGGGATGTTTTGTGACTATAAATCCTTAACTGGAAGTTGATTTGGTGTGAATTAAATGTACATTTGATTTATTTGGTTAAATCTGTGTAACATGGTAGGTTTTGTGGGTTGTTTGGTTTTGTGGTGGTTTTGTGGTTTTTTTTTTTAAGCTTCAAATTTAGCAAACTTCTAGAAACTAAATCACAATACTGAAATGGAAATGCTACTTTAAAAAAATTCTGCTAAGATAGCAACTTAAATTTCCAATTATTTTCCATTATGGGGTGCCAAATGTTTGGGCACTTGAAGGCTGACAAATGAGCTTTTCTCTGTGGACTCAGATCACAGAGGCTACCTTCAAAGCAATTGTTTTGTAACTGTTTTGCTCTCATTTTACAATTGTTTTCTTCAGTTCATCAGGTTCTCGCAGCTGACCAGACAGTTTTTGGTTGGTTTGAAATTTCCAATTATTTTCCATTATGGGGTGCCAAATGTTTGGGCACTTGAAGGCTGACAAATGAGCTTTTCTCTGTGGACTCAGATCACAGAGGCTACCTTCAAAGCAATTGTTTTGTAACTGTTTTGCTCTCATTTTACAATTGTTTTCTTCAGTTCATCAGGTTCTCGCAGCTGACCAGACAGTTTTTGGTTGGTTGGTTTATTTGTTTGTGGTTTTTTGTTTTTGTTTTTTTGTTGGCAGCAATCAGCTGGGTATTCTAAGCATAATCTTAATCATGTTTTAGCTAAAGACTTCCAGGCGGATTATGTTTCATACAGCTTTTTGGCCCAATTTGAGCGTTGGCAGCATTTTGAAAACAATGTAGCTGAGTTACAGGGCTGCTTCTGCACAGGAATGGAGCACATTGCTCTAGCCTCCTTGGCAAGTGGTAATGTTTGCAGCTGTTTTATGGGACTAAATAATGCAATTGAAAGCTTTTTAAATACCTAGGGGGTTTATATTTACATGACTTTAAGTTGTAATGATGAAGTTAGAACTTGATATTTATTTTTATATTGATTTTTTTTTTTTAATTCAAAGGTAGATGTGGTGGTTCTTCCAGAAAATGTAAAAATTTGTGTTGAACTTTGCTCATGAACAGTTGTTCCTTTCTATTTTGCCAGAGATTTTATGCCTAAGAATGTGGGGATTGATCCAAGTCCATTTACTGTTCGTAAACCTGATGAAACTGGAAAATCAGTGTTGGGGTAAGTCTGAAATATGAAATTTTGTTCTGGTTTAATAGTAGTGAAATTGTAATGCAAATACATAAACTCTATGTGTGTGTCTGTGTAGCATATTCTCTGTTACATGGGAAATAAAAAAATCATTGGTGTTATACTGTAGAATCGTACACTTTGAAAATCATACCTAATTTGAGATTTTTATTTGACACTGGTAATTCTTTATTCAGACTTGTTTAATCTTTTCTCTTTTCTTGTACTCCTTGAAGTGAAACCCATGAGAAAATTTTATCTAGAATAAAGATACAGAGGTTGTTAAAATTTGATCATCTCTTCATACTAGTGGCAACTGTATTCTCTATTGGAGATGACAGGAATGCATATATTATTGTTGTTGTTCTTTTTAAAAAAATTAATAAATTTTGAATAAATAGAACATATCCTGAAACAGCAATAAGTGCAAATTTCAGCATAGTTTTTGATAAAAAATGTTATTAAAATATCTATAGATAAAATTACATAAAACAATTCAGCAACAGTCATTGGAACAAATGAATGTTTCATTTAGCTGTTTTTGCATCCTGGACTTGCTTTGTTACTTTATTTATTCCATTGTTGTGTTTGATCTGCTGTATCACACGAGCTATGGGGACTCTTCCTGAACCAATTCATTCTCTCTTTGATATCTCATATTAAGGAAACCTTTTGTCAGTAACAACTAAACCTGTGCTGTCACAATATTATAAGTTCTTCTGAAAACTTGCCATTCTGTTAAAAGCTACAAAATTTGACTATCTCATAAATAACATCCGTTGTGCCTTGACCCTGAGGGAATGGAATCACTATCTATAAATGTTGAGAGTAGACTATGCTTATCACTAGTAGAACCTGATTTCACACTACTTATGTTCCCTGGGAATAAGCAGAAAGACTGTTCAACAGTTATACAATTTACCTCTGCTAAGAACTGTGAGTTTATGGGTACCTTTGAGGATAAGCTTTATTCTTCCACTTTGGTATAATGTCAGATTTTGGACTAACTAATTTCTGTCCAGATACTCCATTAAATACTTGACCATTATACATTTTTCTCAGGCACTTTGCTTCAAGCTCTCCACTGTGATTTTTAGGGATTGTTATGAGATAGAGAATCAGCCGGACCAAAGCCATGTTCCAGGACTCCCTGAGTATTGCTTGTAAGGCTTCCCATGCATTGGCTGTGGAGGGGGGTAAAAGGTGGCTTCAATCTTCCACCTTACCCATATTTAGCCCTTGGTAGAGGTTGTATCTTTGCCTTGCACATTTGTCATCATCTTTTAATCTACTGTGACATTTCTGGAGGATTTGGTGATCTGTTTTCATCTGTAAGTGTTCTGGTCCCCTAGGACAATTAGATCTTGGCTGCCTTCTGACTATGTGTTGGGGGTGGGGATATCACTCTTACCAGTGTGGCTACTTGTGCTCCATCTACACGTCTTTTAAATACCTCCAGGGATGGGGACTCCACCACTTCCCTGGGCAGCCTGTTCCAATGTTTCACCACTCTTTCAGTAAAGAAATTTTTCCTTACATCCAATCTAAACCTCCCCTGCCGCAACTTGAGGCCATTTCCTCTCGTCCTATCACTTGTTACTTCGGAGAAAAGACCAACACCCACCTCGCTACAACCTCCTTTCAGGTAGTTTCAGGAAGTTGTAGAGAGCGAAGAGGTCTCGCCTCAGCCTCCTCTTCTCCAGGCTAAAAATTATAACCACTAAAACAAAAAAACCACTTTTCATCTGTAAGTGTTCTGGTCCCCTAGGACAATTAGATCTTGGCTGCCTTCTGACTATGTGTTGGGGGTGGGGATATCACTCTTACCAGTGTTTGGCTACTTGCTCCATTCTTCAGCTTTCAGAAAGGACTGCTTTTCTTGTGACCTTCACCTCATTTAGAAAAGTAGGGAAGATAACCTTAATTTTCTCTAGAAAGAATGCAGTATGTCTTCAAAACTTTCTGTAAATTTCGGTCTAAGGAGATGTCAGTTTCTGCTGAGTCAGAAATTAAACTTACCTGTGTTGTTTTTTCCTTTAAGGCATTTGTTCCAGCTGTAAGGATTCTTTTGATATATTAATGTCCTTGGGGGTGTGGTATGCTCTCAGATCAAGAACCTCTGGGAGGACTCTCCTACTTGTTCATATGTGTTCCTAAAGCATATAAAGTTCAGCTAATTCACTACAGGGATAAATTGCTGTATGAGTTTGACTGCAAAAGGCAGAACTCTCTGTGACAGTCATGGTGTGCTCCACTAGAGCTCAAGTGATACTGGTGACCTCCATGTGTTTGCAGCTCTAGTGTTCTCATCAGCAACTCAGAATAGCACTTGCACCAAACTGCATGCTGTTGTCAAAGCCTCTTAGCATGCTGCTGTCTTACTTTAAAGGAAGACCCTAAAGGAAGTCACGCACAGCGTCAGTGTATATATGGACAGTCACCTCAGCAAGGAGGAGATGTTGCTTCCCTGTTTCCAGAACTGATTTGTCTATAAACATATTCATTACCTGCCTTCCAGTCCCTCTTCCTCCAGAGACCCTGAAAGATTGTGACAGTGTCTGAGAGGAAAGCGCAACCACGTACCCTTCTATGGCCAGTAGGAGAGGATGTAGAGTACGTAAGGGTGGTACAATTTCCGATGGGTAAAGTCACATATACCTTTCAGAGCTTGTACAGTTAAACCCAGTGTTAGCCTACTAAAATACAGATGCTGTATCTTGAAGAATTCTTACAAATAAGGCACCTCTTTATATTGACTAGAATTTCTAGAGTGAGAAATACATACCGCGTAAAGAAATGTTGCTGATTAAACAACGAAATTGAGGGGAGAGGTATGGAAAAGGAAGGGGGAAAAAGTGACATTATGATTAAGATTTTTAGGCCTGAGATTAAGAAAGCTACTGGACTGGATAATGTTGTTAAGCAGAAAGTGAAACTTTTTCCCAGATCAGAACCAAAGATGTTATATCTCAATGAATTTTTATTCCTTTTTATTCATTCAGTCTGAGGGAGGGATTTAAGTAAAGAATCAGAGAATTGGTGGAGAAAAGCTGACATAATCCTTTGAGCTCTCTTTAAATGCTCTGGAATGAGAGGAGATTGAAGAAAAGTAAATCAATTGGGGGATTCAAAAGATGAGCAACAAGTTGCTCCAGAGGATAGAACTCATTTCCCCCAGTAAGACTGTAACCAAAATTAGGAACTTTAAATACTTCTTGTTAATATCCCACTGATTTCATAAATACACACTGCCTTTCATGATAGGAACAAAAGTAATAGAGAAGAAACCGTGCTGCAGCGCAAAACAGCTGCTAGTGCTCCTCCACCCCCAAGTGAGGAAGCAGTGTCAAGTAGTTCTGAAGATGATTCTGGGACAGACAAAGAAGATGAAGGTGCTGTTTCTCAACGTTCAACTCCAGTAAAGGTGACTGATACAGGAGACAATACAAAAATCACAGAGGTAAGAAATTATTGTGGCAGGCAAGAAGGCTAATCATAGGCTTAAAATTCACATTTCCTTAAAAAAACCCCAGTGTTATAGAACAGTCAGAAGTAAAGCACTGAGAAATTAAGTGAAAAAGCTCTCCAGTGTAATTTCTTTGTGTAGATATTAGCACAACTGCTTATAAAACTTTGCTATCATTCTTGTCATGTAATAGTGAAACACAGTGGAAAATAATATTTTTCAAAAAATGAAAATTACTGTTAGAAACCTATGGCATTTGAAAGGTACTGAGGTCAGGTGTGGTCCATTACATAAAGCATAAAATATATCTATGTTAGTATGTTAATTCAGAGCAGTAGTGCACTTCTGATCATTGTTCTGGTTATTCCAGAATGATCCCTGACATTTGGTCAGGGATTTGAATTTTGGTATTTTTTACATCAGCAGCTGTAGAGTAGAGAAAAATTGTATCGTTATGGCAAGGGGGGGAACCCAAACAGCTAGTTCCTTTCTATTAAAGTCACAGAAGTTAATAATAAAATGCTTTTATACTTCTGGTCAGGACATATCTTTCCGAAGTTGTTCTTTGACTTTGGATCTTTTTGAACAAAAAGAAAACTATTTTTATAGTTGACTTACTTGCAGTCACACGTCTTGTCAGTAAACCCCCTCAGTTTAACACTGAACCATTAGACATAGTGAAGTATTGTATGTGCATTGGATCCTTGTTATAGTTGACTGACATGATTGTGTAATGTATAAAATAAAAATAGTTTTGTTCAACCTGAAGTTTGTAATTATTTCAGAATTGACAGCAGGAAATGTGAAAGCAAATGTGGGAGCGTGTTCTGAATGACTATGATTTATTCTATATTAAGTTTCAACACAGAACGGAATTTAATATCTACATCATTATATGTCCTATAAATATAATTTATTCTCCTAATATGTTGTTTTATCTGATGTTATCTTTCAAGAATCCTTTCCTTTTTGAACAAAAGTCTTAAAAATAATTTATTAAAAATATTATTCATTTAAAAAAAACCAAAACATGCATAAGCTATGTATACATATATACATATGTATATATACATATACTATGTATATGAGAAACTTGTTTGGTTTTGCCTGCACTTTTGAAATTATTTTCAGGTTTAGAAAGAATTCCCTGCTTGAAAGCAAACTTCTCTTTGGATGTTGTTACGGTATCCTCAGTCTGAATCTTTCTTCTTATGTTCCAGAATGTAGTGCAATCAACAAAAGATGTGTATGGAGTCAATCTTTCAGATGTTCCTTCGGAAGATGATCTCACAATATACGCTAGGTGAGATAAATTCCCAGTGGTAATCAGTAAAAGATAATTGGAGCAAGTTAAATACAGCTTGTCAAAGTGCTGCTTTTGATTAAACTTATCCAAATACCTCTAAAATTTATAATTTAAAAATATATACTATTCTGTTTTTAAAATCAAACTGTTTTCAGATGTCTGTGTCAACTCTGATTTCGGTGGAAGTTATGCAGAGGTCTCTGAATACAAAATTTGGAACTTAAATCGAATGAAAGATGCTTCAGTAGAAATACTTGTTACTTAATATAACTTAATATAGTCCCAGAAAAAAATAAGCAAATTCCATATTAGGAGTGGTTCCATGGTTCTAAGCTATGTAGTCTGTGATTTTTTTGCATTTTTTCAAATGTTGAATTATGCTAATTCAAATCAGTCATAAGTGAAGTAGCGTCTTCTATAAAAATGCATACAAAACAACAGAAGTTAAGTCTTTTTTTAACATAATGTCTTATTCGTAGAGATGTGTTAACTGTTACCTTTTACTCAAATTTAAATAGTTGTGTGATTTTTGATGTTCAAGGAAAATTACTTTTCTGAATAATATTCAGCCTTTTTCTTGAAACATCTTGGCCTTTTGAGCTTGAAATAAAAAATTGTGGATTTTATAGGGAGACCTTGAGACCGTTACCAAATCTGGTATAGACTATGAGGAGAGAAGTTGAGAAAAGCGGCCGGAATAACTCACACTATAGAAGCATGGATATCTAAGTGACAGATATTTGTACTGTAAGTTTCAGGAGAGGGAGAAGTCGGTTTGGCCCTTGCCATTATTGGAGTTTCATGAAATAACAACATGCAGATATATGTGTTGTGTGGGTTTATGTGTGCGTGTGTGTGTGTGTGTATATATATATGCAAGCACTAAGCGTAGTGTGTGTAATAATGTGCTCTTACACACTGCATTTTGAACAGCATCATACTGCCACTTGTTCTTAATAAATGGTTTTGTGAATTCAAACCATACGTACAGGAAATGAGTAAGATACAGCATAGTGCAAGACAAAATACAGCTCCTTAGGTAGTCCAGCAAGTTCCCATTCAGTTCCTGCACTTTGAGGTAAACTGCTACAATGTGAGGCAGCATGCTGCGCAGCACCTGCAGGCTCTCCTCAGGAGCTGGGAGCTGCTGGCTTACTGTGAGCAGTTGGAGGTAAGAGTTGGTGGGCAAGCGTCAAGGTATCATCTCCCAGCTCCAACTACACAAAAACTTCTGCTTTTATTCAAGGGTAACTTGGACTTTTATCCTCTACAAGACAGTTGTCACCACTCCTGCAGGAGCCGTGAACTGTCAGCTCCCCAAGAGCAATCAGCAAATTAATCGTATGCTTCTCCAACAAAAGGCAGTGACTCCCATTGTTTCAGGAATGCTGTTTCTGAATTGCCATAACCCCGTAGAGAGCGCTGGCTATGTGTTGCCATTGTTAAAAAATGTGTACTTACGCTATTGTCCTCAAATTCTCTCCTCAATATCACAGAATAACACTGAAGCCAAAAAGAAACTGGTTCAAATCTTCCTTTTTTCTTAAATCAGAAATTAATTTGAACGTTTTGAAATTTTTTTAACTCAAACCAAAACTGAACTAGAGTAATTTCAGTTATAGATGAACTACAAGTGAACCAAAAAGGTACTTACTCAGTTCCCTGGTGGAGGAGATTCTTTCCTGAACTGCAATCTTTGTCTTTGAAAACTAGTCAGAATAATGGGAATTCAGTACTGGAGATCAGTTGGAGAAATTTAGATCCAAATTGAAGACCCTCTTAGTTCCTAAAGGCTTATAATGCTGTTGCAAAGAGAGTGATTGCTTATGCAAGATACCAGGAGCGCAAATCAATTACATTTGCTTAATAAACCAATGTTTCGAACACCTGCTTAGAATGTAGAATTAATGGAGTTTGAGAAAAGGGGTGTAAGAAAACTACACGTCATCTCAGAAAAACACGATGTGTATATTGAAGTGAATACTTGTGCGGCATGCATTGAAATGGCCTTGTGTGCATTTGTTTTTATTTTCTAATGTGTAATAGCAGTGATTACCTTGTCATATTTGAAACCTTTTCAATTTGTGAGGAAAGTTTTAATTTACTATGATATCTTCTCATTTGGTGATATGTGATGATTAATCCTGACTTAGTTCATTAATCCTCTCACAGCATTTTTTTTCTTTTTATTTAAAAGTCTTTTTCTGTTAATTTTTCTTCAGGGGTAGCTACTTCTCTTGCACTCTTTAGTTCTTTGAAATTCCCATTTCTACCTATTTCCTACATGCTGAGTAATTTCAAGATAGTACACTTGAATAGGGTTGAGGAGGATGTTTCTCATTATCTCTGAAATTTTTAACTTCACCTATGCCTCTATCTTTGGTTCTTTATTTTAATCACTAGAAAATGGATGCAAATTTGACAATTACTCTTTGGTATACTGGATAGTTGTTGTTCTGCAAATGGCCCAGTGTGAGCTGGTGTCTACTACAAGTCACTTCGTGCAGATGAACAGCTCTGTGATAACATCCAGAATTGCAGCTACTTCCCATTTAATCATTTTTCAGGCTGGACTAACATTCAGTCTATTGTTACAGTAGTACTGTAAACTCCATGGGGGCTTTGAAGCTCCCTATTCGTATCCTTGTCAAGACAAAAAAAGCTTGCATTTATTCCATTTCCCTCAAGCAATGCAAGTTTTAAAAATATAACAATTACAAATTCCTTACCTCTTTTCGCTAACAAGACATAGTGCTATTTATGGTCTGATGTGCTGATTTATGTGGAAAGTATAGATTTTACTGACATCCTTTATTACAATGTACATCTTTTGAGAATAGCAGCAATTTATTTCACAGTATGGTTATAGTTCTCACTTCAAGTCTTTTTCTATTATTGTAATAAGGGAAATGGAGATGTAAGATCCTGACTCTACTTGACATTGTTGGACATGTTACATATTTTTTTCTTTATTAGCATCAGGGACTCGCAGATTAAAGTACCTCAGGTTAAGTTACCTTACGTCAGCTGATCTATATTAAGTATATATGCAAATGAAAAGTAATTTGAATCTGTTCAGCCCATTTTCATTGATGACTGAGATAATTTATGTTTAATTCTCATCAAAATAGAAATCACAGAACCACAGATTGGTTGAGGTTGGAAGGGACAGGAGGTCCCTCAAATAATTTGAGGATGTATACTGCAGATCAACTGTGGGTGGTGTCTTACTGATGTCTGGTAACTTGCTTGTCTTAATTTAGGCCTTGTTTGTTTCAGAATATTGGATAATTTGAAGCAATTAATAAAAATACTTACACCTTTAGTTTGCTTTTATTTGTTTTTTTAAGCTTGTTTCAATAGCAAGCTCCTGCACTAGAAGATCTTAATTATCTTTATTTCCACTTATAATTCTCTTACTTAGAAATGTAAGTATTTATTCCTTCAACATCCAAAGTGATGTCGCATGTTTCTGAGGCTTTTGTTTCTACAGTATAGAATCTGAATGGAGCAGAAAGAAAAATCACAGTAAGTTGGTTAGGAATGTATTGTTCCTTTGTCTTCTGTGCACTCTTCTATGCAACTGCTTTTGCACTGTTAATTGTCCCCTGTTAAAATGTAGTAAATATTTCTGAAATAGACCAATAAGACTATTTTTAAGCTAAATGGAAGCTAACTATTAAAAAAACCCCCGCTGTGTCAGAAAATTAAAGTGTTAACATCACAACTAACATTTACGTCTGTTTTCAGTAGCGCAGATACGTTGGGGAGTGAACAAATTGAGTTCAAGTGTGAGATAACTACATATACATATTCTTGAAACCCTCTGACTTTTCCTCTTAGACTGAATAAAATTAGTGATTATCTTTTTTTTTTTTAAATTTTGCTCCAATTCATTGCCAAGAAAAAAGACATAACAGTATTTTGCATCTTCAGTGTCTTCCAGCAAATATTTGGAGATGGGGTAATTCTCTCAAAAGGTTGTGCTTGGAAATAAGTGAGCTGGACTGACAGTGTTTCAGCTGAATAAACTAGATTGAATTTGGCTGAGGACTGACTTAAATCTGAAACTTGAGAGACTTTCTATCTCTTCTGTTGACTTTTCCCATAGGCTAGTCATCTGATTGCTTTGAAAAAAAACATAGGAAGTTGACTGTAGCGGGCTGCCTATTTCATAGGAGCAGAGGCCTGTTTCTATCCCATGACATACTAGGTGACACCAATTAATAGGCAAATCTTTTTCAAGCTGAAAGAAGCTCCTGAGCTCTCACATGCACCCCTGCAAAGTTTTAAAAATCTCTCGTATTTACCAGAGAGCATCTGATTGCTTTGAAAAAAAACATAGGAAGTTGACTGTAGCGGGCTGCCTATTTCATAGGAGCAGAGGCCTGTTTCTATCCCATGACATACTAGGTGACACCAATTAATAGGCAAATCTTTTTCAAGCTGAAAGAAGCTCCTGAGCTCTCACATGCACCCCTGCAAAGTTTTAAAAATCTCTCGTATTTACCAGAGAGGTAGTTCATGATCAGAGACTTACATAACATGACTTAAAGACTCATTTTTTAGTGTTATTTTCTTTCACTTGCTGAATTTTGGCAGATAGTTCTTTTGTTTTCTTTAATTTATTCTCCTATCTACTGCTTTTCCCAGGTTTGTTCAACTGGGACAGAGTCAGCATAAGCAAGACAAGAGCAGCCAGCAGTTTTGCTCAAAACACCACTTGGATAGGGTTATAAATTTGTAAGTACTCTTTTTCTTTTTTCCTTTAGCCTATTTCTTTTTGCTTTTGTCATTAGACCTGAAAAATCATCAGGTAAATTTGATGTTAAATTGTTTGAGAGTCATACTTCTGTTGCTTTTACTGCATAAGGGGATTGAATGCATAGCATGAAGAATTAGGTTCCTACTTCTCCCTTGTAACTTAAAAAAAAAAAAAAAAAAGGTGCTTTTTTTTGTGGTTTGTTTTTTGGTTGGGGTTTATTGGTTGTTGTTTTTTGTAGTTGTTGTTTGGGTGGTGGGTTTTTTGTTGTTTTGGTTTTGGTTGGGTTTTTTTTTTTGTTTTTTTAGTTTTTGTAGTGCCACGATTTTTGTATGCAGAATTCTTAGCAGTCATGAGTTATCACAACACAAAGTGCTGAAGCTACTGAGTTTAAAAGTCAATTTCTTCTTGCTGTGATTGCTTTTGAAAGAGAGAGTTTGAAAGGGATTGGGTGACCTGCGTATTCATCGTTAAAAGAACATTCAAACTTGCAACTCAGTCTTTAGTGTGCAGTTATCTGAATTTATTTGTTCTGAGAAGGCTACAAGTGCCCTGTATTTGTTTTAGTGGACATTTGAGGAGTCTTGAGAGGTCAAATGGGATATTTTTAAATTTTTATTCTTCTGGTGAGTGGCCAGGTGCTGGAGAGAGTAGGGTAAAGTGAGAATTGATTCTTGCTTTGTTTTGTGCACTCGATGCCCATCTGTGTCACTGAAGTCAGAGGATCTATACTAGCTTTAATCAGTATGCAGTGTTTTAACTGAAGAAAAGAGGATCTTGAATCTTGCATAGATGTTATTTTAACAATTAGTCTGCTACATTTTCCCTAGAAGTATCTCCTTGGGGTTTTTTTGGTTGTCTGCTCTTTGTTACATACTGGTTCTATGCATTTGTCAGTGATACTTTGAGCTGCTGAGACAATTTTTTTTAAACAGTTCATTTGTTACAATAGATACATTTTGCATCTTGTTCCAAACAGGTAGGTAGTTGGTGGTAGGTTGTAAGGGAAGATCAAGCTCTGAGTGCTTTTTGTCAATGAAACACTTGAATACTTTAATTCCAAAAGATTAGTATGGGAGCCATATTCAACAAAGCCAATTGTGGTGGGATGGTAGGAGGATTGCTCTCCAGAGATATCTGCCACATGGAATAACTTCTGTGTATTCTGTTGCTAATAGAGTAACTTTCCATTACTATGAAAAATAACTCTAACATTAAAATTACAATAGGTGCACATATTTAATTTATACTGAAATAAGGAATTTAACTGTTTGTGATTATGGATTGATTATTGCTGTACAAGAATGGCCTCTAGAGATAGGCCAGATCATTCGAATCTTTTCTTAGTACTAGTATAAAAAAGGGTCGTGATATTATCCAAATATACTATTATTGAAGCAGGTCTTGAAATTTAGGTGATCAACTCCTAACTTCCCAGTTGACATCTTCCTGCACTGTAGGCAGCTTAAAGTTTCACCAAGGCAAGTTTTTATTTACTTTTGTCTCTGGGGTACATGATCTCTTACCCAACAGCACGGCCACTCCATAGAACTGCAGACCTTTACTGCAGTCCATTGATTTACACAAGCCTCAGCTTTGTTTCCTGCACTGGCTCTAGTCCATTCCCTCTATGCTGATGAAGTGAGGGAACCTTGAACATAGCATTTACCCAAGAAGGGATAGAGACTGAGGGTGTCTCAGTGGGGCTGAGGGAGCAGGATCACATGAAACAGATTTAATATTGTGTATGAGACAATACTGCCTGGTATCAGTGCTTAGTCATTTGGTATTATATACATTTAAAGTGATGATGCTACTGTGCATGGTTCATCATTAATAAGCTTACACTTTGTAGGTGAATGTGCCTGTAGTTTTATAATAAAATATATCTGATGGGTATTAAAATAGTAAGTTAGGTTGGCAAACTGTAAAACTGTTTTTAAAAATGAAGGAACAACCCTGAATGTTTTGAGGGGAAATGGTTATTAAGAAATTATTTTCTAATAATAGGAATATTTTTGCTATGAACAAAGGCAATTCTTTTTGTGTAATTGCAAAATCTCCCAGCATGTTTGACAGTGTAGGAGATAATCGTTCCTTTCTTGCCCCCTTAAAGTAGAGTAAATTATTCCCCATGCTATGCTGCTGTAAAATGAACACATTAAAGAGAGTCTATACACATAATTCTGGTGGGGTTTGAGTAGTCAGATGTTCATTTTTCTCCTTTTCTGAGTATAATTTCCAAATAGTGGAAGTGTAAAAATCATAGAGCACACAAAGCTGTGCTTCCTGTCACTCATCCTCTTGAAGTAACGTAGATCAACTTTCTCTGCCAGTTCTACCAAACATGCTCTGCTGTGCACATCTGAGAGGAAACAGGGTATCTTACAGTCGGTAATTTTTTTTTTCTGAAAGTATATCTTTATACAGCTTAAAAATTTTCTTCAGTTTGTGTTCTGCAACTTTTAAAAAATGTTCAAATACTATTTGGATAGTGACAAATTGTTCTTTCAAGAAGGGTCATAAATGTCGTCATTCTTTAAAGGCATGTTGTTCAATTCTGAAACAAGGAAGCTTTCTCTTACTGAGTTTGAATTGCTGCTCTGAATCAGGAACTTCCTTGGAGAATACTAACTTTTTAGAGATAAAAATAGCATAAACATACTATACTCAAGATTAGATCAAGAGAGAGAGGGTTTTCAGTAATAGCAGCTGAGGCACATCTTGCACTTGTTGGACTGTATATTTCCTTGATTTTCAAGGAGCACTTGAAGAAATTGAAAAATTATGGTAACTTATATTAATTTGATGTTAGGTGCATTTTAAATTGCATGTAGCATTCAGAGAAGATAATAGGTATCTGACTGTTTTTCCATAGGAGTCAGACCTTCCAATTAGCAGTTCAAGTTGTGCATTATATCGGACTCGGTGCTGCATGAAAGAAGCGCAAACCCAGAACATGGTCAAGGTGAAATAAACACTTCCAGCTGGCCAGCATTGAAAACAGGGATGATTCCCATTTTCACTGCATCTGTTTCAGTCTTAAAAAAAAAAAAAAAAAATCTCATAACCTTAAACCTTGTGGCCATTTTTATCAAATACATAAAGCCAATAAAAAAAGAAATATTTCTTATTTTTACAATGTCACTTCAGTGTTATTTATGCTCTCGAATATGCATTGTAGAAATACTGAAGAGAAGCTTCTGGCTTAAATTTAGAAACTGTAAGTATAGATTAGAAGCAAAAAATGGATACTTGAACAGGGACTACAGTGATGCAGTGAAATAATACTGAAGAGGAGTGGAGAATGTGGAAGGGTATTGAAGTTCCTCTTTTTGTTCGTAGAAATTCCATGAAGGAAAAAAGGGTAGAATTTCAGTTAGAGCTAAACAGAGCTGGACTACTTTTAGCACAATCTATTATCATGTATGTGAAGAGAGACTTTGGGTACTGTAGTATAATCACTGTTGGCTGACACAGCGCACCTGTTCCTAGTTCCCTAGTACTCACTGTGGCGTGGTATAAACAATACTATTCAAAAATGTATTCTCAATCACTTTCCAAATATACTTCTTGTATCTAGGAGTAGGAGAAATTTGATTCCCGCCCGAACAGGGAATTGAGTGTTTTGATTCACTGCAGCACTTCTGGAGAAGAGTGCTGTGCCTGTCCCCTTTGTGACCTATGCAATATAGCAACAATGCTGGTGTGCCAGCTTCAATTCATCCATAGGTATCTGCTCTCCTGTTAGGTTTTGTGGGGCACTGATGATGCTCAAGCAGGAGAACACTTCAGTGAGTGATATCTGCAGCATGGTCCAGGGCTATGTTCTCCTTAAATATTTGAAAAACATACCCTGTCTTCAGAGATATAGTCCATGTTTTCAAAAGTTCCCTTGATGTTAAATGTGTAATCTTTTTTTTTTTTTTTTTTTAAATCAAGACTACCTAGATTCTGCTTGTCATCCAAGTATTGATCAAACATGACTCAAATTGAGTAGCAACTAACTATCTACAAGTTAGCAGCTAACTATGTACAAGAAGCATATGGGCTTTTTTACTGTTTGTTTCTGTGTATATGCGCATTACATACATTATTTTCTCACCAAGATAAAAGTAATGAAGCAAATTTCAGTGAACAGTGGAGCACTCTGTATTTTCCATTTTTGTTAATTCAGTGGTCTACTGGAGTATTTTTAATCTATAATACCACTTTAAAATATAGTAAAAATAGAGCAGTGCATTTCCTAATTTTAATGAAGCGTCTTACAACCCTAGTACTTTTGAAAGCTGTTACCTCAGTTTTGAGCAATTCTCTTGTTCATTCAGTACTTCCATATGACTTTGTTAGTATAAGGTCTATTTCTTGGAGGATTAGATAAAAAATGGCTTTATATTTGTAAACATGGCATTATCACTGCTTTTTAACTGTACTAAAGAAAAGGTTGGTATTAAACTTGTCATCTTTCTGTGTATGCACATCCTAGGAGTTGTTGGGGGGTTCCTTATGTTGAAAGGCAGAAGTAAATGAATAAAGGATGTTTAGACTGTTAAGTATATTTATTTTTTACATTAAACCCATGCAAAATAGCTAAATAGTTTCTTGACACTGCTGTGGAAACAGTGAATCAAAAGGGGTTCATAATTAGTCAACAAGTGACTTTGGAAATTACAAGTTATCTTGGATTCTCAAGCCCTTTATTTTAAATGTTTAATCTTTTTTTTTTTTTTTTTTTAAATCAAGACTACCTAGATTCTGCTTGTCATCCAAGTATTGATCAAACATGACTCAAATTGAGTAGCAACTAACTATCTACAAGTTAGCAGCTAACTATGTACAAGAAGCATATGGGCTTTTTTACTGTTTGTTTCTGTGTATATGCGCATTACATACATTATTTTCTCACCAAGATAAAAGTAATGAAGCAAATTTCAGTGAACAGTGGAGCACTCTGTATTTTCCATTTTTGTTAATTCAGTGG